GTGGAAGATCTTGTACATGAGTCTTTGGTAAGTTGCCCCCGCGTTCTTCAAACCAACCGGCATGACTCTGTAACGAAAGTTAGCCGACTCTGTGATGAATGTTATTTTCCCCTCGTCCGGTGGATACATGGGTATCAGATTGTACCCAAAATAAGCATCAAGGAAGCTAAGTATTTGATGGCTTGCTACCCCGTCTACCAATGCGTCTATGTGTGGTAGGGGATAAGCATCTTTCGGGCATGCCTTGTTCGGATCTGTGTAGTCGGTACACATTCGCCATTTGTCATTGGCCTTCTCGACCATTACCACATTGGCCAACCAAGTAGAGTACTTAACTTCCTTGATAAATCCCGCTTGAAGTAGCTTGGTTGTCTCTTCTTTTATCGCCTGGGCCCTTTCTCCCCCCATCTTTCTATTCTTTTGGGCGATGGGCTTGGCGTCTCGACACACTGAGAGGCGGTGGCAATGAAAGCTTGGGTCAATGCTTGGCATGTCAGCGGTTGTCTAGGTGAATAAGTCTAAGTACTTCACGAGGATTTGTTTGATGTATCTTGCCTCGACTTCTGACAGTTGGGAACTCAAGTAGGTGACCTGTTCTTCGTTTCTCCCGAGTTAAAATGGGGTTGTTGTCTCTATCGGTTCAACTCGGTGTTCATCTTTGGACCTCGGATCTACCTCTAAGCTTATGTCCGACCCATCTTTGTGGGTGTCTATAATCACATTAACCTCCTGTCGAGGCTTAGGGGTAAATGGCATCTTCAGACTAGCAAAGTAACATTCGCGAGCCATTTTTTGATCGGCATGCATGGTGATCACCGTGCCATCTTCGGATGGGAACTTCATGGCCAGGTGTGGAGTGGACACAATGGCTCGAAGCTTGTTTAATGAGGGTCGTCCCAGCAAGATATTGTAAGAGGTGTTTGCGTGCACCACATATCGTACTTTAACCCTTCGTCCCTCTCGTTCGTCCCCGAAGTAAGTGTATAAATCAATTGTTCCTCGGGTATCCACTCGTTCGCCCGAGAATCCGAGTAAGGGCTCGCTGTAGGGTACCAATTCGTGCTTGGGAATTCCCAACTGTTTGAAAGTCTTCCAATATAGGATATTGGCCGAGCTCCCTTGATCCACAAGCGTCTTCCTCACAATGCAGTTGTTGATTTCTACACTGATTACCATTGGGTCGTCTTGCACCGGGTCGACTCCTTGGAAATCCTTGTTAGTGAATGTGATAGGTGGCATATGAATCGAGCTCGTTCGTTCTACCTCTTTTATGGAACGGATTTCTCTCAAGTGTCTTCTTTTGGGCCGACGAGGTTCCACCTCCTTCCGCGAATCCCCCGGCTATCGTACTTATTACTCTTCTTGGCTGATTGCGGTCTCGCGACTAATCACTCCGCTCGTGGGACTTGCTATGTTCCATGTGCCTATACTTCGGAGGAGCCCTTTCTTGGTCTTCTCTTTTGTGGTCTCTCCTGCTAGGATAACCGTCATGATTCCTCCTTCCCGAAGATTGGACAAAACTTTGAAGATGTCTCAATTTGACGAGATCCTCTATGCGGTCTCGGAGGGGCGGGGAGTCTTCGGGGGTATGCCCTCGGTTTCTATGAAACTGACATGTTTTTGTTTTGTTTGCATGGGGTGGGGTCATGGCTCGACGAGGTACTGTGAGGACTTTGGTGGCGAGGGCCTGTTCCAGCACCTTGGTTCGGCTGGAGTTAAGGGGTGTGTATTGTGCATATCGGGGTCCTCGGGTATTCTTTTCCCGATCGAAAGTGTCCCGCGGATGGGATCTAAGGACGAATTCCTTCTCCTTCTTCTCTTGAAACAACTCGGGTCAGTTCTGGTTCTTGAATTCAGCTAAATCCTCCATCTGCATGTACTTTGTGGCCCTTTGTCTTAATTCGTCTTAGTCTCGGGATGACTTTTTACATATGCTATTTACAAAGGGCTCTAGCCTCAGTGTCGTGGTGAGGTGGTGCATTGCCACCGCTGGGTCTAGGTCTCGGATAGATAGGGTCATCTTCCTGAACCGTTCCATGAAGGTTCTTAGAGGTTCCTTCTTTTCCTGGCGAATATTGACCAACGTGATGGAGGTGAGCTGATGGGGTCGGCTCGTGGCAAACTGTATTACAAATCGAGAGGACAAGGTTGTGAACGAGTCCATCGATCCTGGGGGAAGTCTTGTAAACCAACTCAATGTTGGTCCTTTCAGTGATGTGGGAAAAACCTTACACATGACAGCGTCTTCGTCGGTATATAAACCGACATGAGTGACGAAGGCATCAAGGTGTTCCTCGGGGTCGGTGGTTCCGTCATACTTTTCCAAGGCCAAGTTTTTCAAGTTGTCCGGCAACCGGGCTCCGGCGATGTCGGGATTAAACGGTGTTTTCCCTTATCGTCGTTGCTGATCTGGAGTTGTTGTCGTCACTTTGCCAGGCGGCTGAAGAATTCTTGTCTCTTTGTACCATCCCGACGATTCCCCCTGATCACACGTTGACTGAGTGTTAGGGGTGTCGTGGGACGGATGCCAGGATCAATTATCGCTCATAAGCTCCGCGTTTTCCTTTCTCAAGACTGATAGTTCATGGGCGTCCTTCTCCCGAAGTCTCTTTAATTCCAACATTTCGACCTTCAGCTGTTCTATGGCCGATGATGGGTTGGGGGGTTGGGAGCGATCCACGTATGACTCCTCCATTCCTTCCTCGTTTTGATTCGTCTGGTGTCTCGGTTCTCGGGGAATCCCGAGGTTGTGAATTGCTGCGTTCTCTTGCTGACTCCTAGATGCTACCATCTTACTTCAAGGTCGAGAACCGTTTTGGTTTCGGCCTCATGGTGGGCGCCAAAATGTTCCTGCTTAGAAAGACTCCTCTTGTCGCTCTTCCTTCATGGTCTTCTAAGTCTTCGGTGTCGACCGAATACTATCTTCAAGGGGTGGGGAGGGTACCTGTAAAGGCACTCCGACGATCAAGTAAGTGTTCGGTATAGAGCAATAAGACTTTTATACTAGATAAATCATACCTTTTTAATCAGTCCCATCAATACCGTATTTATAGTGACGTTCTTGGGCTTGGTGGGCTTTCTGGATTATTGGGCTAGTGCACGAGGTTTTGCACATTGATTACAGCTGACGTGGATGTGTTTAATGTAATTAATACTTGTTTTCCTTTTTCTCATGAAAATTCGTTATAGCTGAATACCCATTCGGTATGTTCATCGGCCGAGGGGGTATTCGGCATGTTCATTGACTGAAAGGGTATTCGGCATGTTCATTAACCGAATGGGTATTCGGCCTTCCCCTTGGACGGAGGGGTATTCGGCCTTTTCCTTGGCCGAAGGGTGTTCGGCCTGTTCATTGGCCGAAGGGGTGTTTGGCCTATTCATTGGCCTGATGGGTACTCGGCCTGAGGGGGGTACTCGGCCTAAGGGGGGTATTCGACCTATTCATTGGCCTGATGGGTACCTGGCCTGAGGGGGGTACTCGGCCTAAGGGGGTATTCGGCCCATTTGTTGGCTTGAGGGGTTATTCGGCCCAAGGGAGTATTCGGACTATTCATCGGCCTGAGGGGAGTACTCGACCTAAGGGGGTATTCGACCCATTTGTTGGCTTGAGGGGTACTCGGCCTAAGAGGGTACTCGGCCTATGAGAGTACTCGGCCTATTAGCTTGACGGGTATCGGCCTGAGGAAGTGTGTTTAGTGTTGACTTTGACCAGGTGGTGTGTAGTCCCAGTACAACTTATTTTGCAAATAATTTCTTCAAGAGGACAATTCCTCAAACATGCTCTTATGCATAATTTGAAGCGAGGAAAAAAATAAAGAAAAGAAAGATATGGAAAGAGAAAAAAATGGATAAGTTTTAGTTTATTTACCTTGTTTGGATGGTGAAGGAATGTTAAAAAAAAAAATTGGAGCCTAGATATTTTACGTTGTTCGAAATTGGAGAGAGAAAAAAATTAGAAAAAGTAGTTTTTATATAAAAGACAATAATATTAATTTAATATATATTTTTTTTGTTTTTTATTAAGGGTATTTATGTAGTTTGCATACAATTTTTCCTTTTGACCTTTTACACAATCAAACAAGAGAATTATCGCTTTCCACTCTTTTTTTTTTTTCTCTCTTTATTTCCTAAACCAAACATACCATGCTTAACAATTCACATCTCTCGTTATCAAAACTACCTTCTCTCACGTTAATTTTTCCCTATCATATTAGTGGTACCATTTCAGTTTCTGATTTCTCAATTGGATTTTTTACATTTTTTTTAGTGGTGTCACTTCGGTTTGCCAATCTTCCTTGCAGGTTTCCTGCAAAAGTTGCTGCTGATTATCGTGGAAAATTAAATTTGGGGAGGGAATGGGGTGGACAAAGAAAAGATGGAATCATGATAATGTACAGTGTATTTTCAGTTATCAAAGTTGCTTCTGTAATGAAGCATGTTATAGAAAGTAAGCAAAGCTCCTTCAAAAATGGTCCAACTATTACAACTTCATGTGATGGAAGCATTGGACAATTATTAACACAATTGCAAAGTTCATGTAAGTGATACAATTAAAACCACATAATTATAATATTTGGAAGACTGAATTTGTTCAATTCGAATTTAGAGAACAATTACAATATTTCAAGAACAGAAGTGTATTTAAGGTAAAAAAATAAAAATAAAAAATTACCATATTTCAGTTGATACTCCAAACATGATGAAATTTGGTAAGAATTTTTTTCTCAAAAAAAAAAAAAACAGTTGAAAGTGGTAAATTTCTGAAGGTCCTAAACATGCTCTTACCCTGAAAGCAAAAAATTCTTGTTCGTGTCTTTAAATATGAAAATGTGATTACAATTTTCAAAAATATACTCCCCACGTTTATCCAAACATATCTTTCAATGCCTGCTCCGAATGAACCTTGTTGCACGGGATTTAGGTGAACAAAAAGTTCAAACATAATTGAAGTTATGTGCAAGTGAACAAGTAAAATATTTTTTATAAGGACATTATAACCATCAGATGAAAAGCTGCACAAAATTCAAACATAGATTGATGATACAAAGTAAACAACTTTAACTTTGTCACTAATTAAAATCTCTATCTCGATTCTTTCTCAGCTAACCAAGCATTAAAACTGTACATTATTTAGAGTTATCACATGCTATACAATATAAAATCAGCCTAACTAAGTCAATATTTACAAAGTGAATTCCCCTGACAGTGTGGAAATTTATTTAGCAATGTGTTCTTTACTCTACCTCATGATCTTTAAGCTTATATACATTGTCAATGTAATCTTCCGTCTCCCACAGGAAAGATCCAAATGCAACAGCTTCCAAGACTAGCCTCCTCAGACTAGAAAATGAAGTTACAATAACATCATCATGGTGAGACAAACCAGATTTTCCATTTCCAAAAAGTGCATGACTATGACTCTCTACCAAATGCACAGCTTCCTTAGACCTCAATTTGGCACATCTCTGAAATGATCCAGGGTGAAAGCCCATAACATAACATTTTAAATCCTCAATTTCCTCTTCCTGCCTGATTAAGCTATGCCATACAGATTGTATGTCATTCTTGTTGCCAAAAATCACATCCTTCGGGCTGCAACGATACACGTCATGAAATGAAGGGCCAGTCCTATGACCACGATGAAGATTATGGTCAGGCAAAGACAGACTTCGTTCTAGGTTGTACCTCAATGAAACTGACTTCAAAAAGTAACCATATAATATGGAGGCAACATAAACTCGGGCAAGCCAGAATTTTCGGATATGAGTTGTTGCCCAACTATCGTTTACACTATGATTTGATTTCAAGCCTGTCACGGTACTGACATGTTTCCTTACGATATCCAGAACCTCCATGCTGTGAATAGACTCTAGATCCCAGTCCTTAGAAGGCAGTATCTCTAGCCTTCCGTTGTACAGACAACTAGAAAGCTTTGGAACCAAATGAACCCTGATCTCAGAAAACTTGTATAAAATCAGCAGATACATAACATCTGCTATGGAAATTGTACACTCATTCTCTTTCACTTGCGCAATCCTCCTGGCATTCAGAAAAATTATAGTCAAAATACCATTAAAAGAATCTCCACAAGTATTTTTAGTATTATGCATTTTCAATGATTTTTACGCACAAAGCTCTAAGGTCCATTCTGCACTGCAGCAGATGATTGTAAAATCAACAGCTTAAAGAAATGTAAACATTAAATTCTTAAGACACCAAAGTTTTGTGTGGCATCAATTATAGCCAAATTTTTAAAACAGAACAGCTATCCACCTGATGCAAGGAACTGCAACAAATACTCGAATAGTAACAGCTAATGTTTGGTTAAACATCAGGAAATAGGCTCACCAAAATAATATGCTTCCAGTAGGGTAATGCAGATAACCTTGGCATGCTCGGAAAATATTTAGATGAAGAAGAAAAAGTAAGCACAGAACTACTGTCACAGAAATCCAATATCTTGAGCATGGTTAATCTAAATGATTGGAAATACAACAAACCAAGAGAACAAAAGTTTTTGGACAGAGGTCGTTTTGAGAAGGTTAATATTTTAACACTATCTTTCTTTTTATATATTATACTTTTTTCTTGATGAACAATGAAATATGGACAAATATGAAAAGTGACACTCATTTATTCATGAAAGTTTTAAGTGTCTTAGAGCTGGATAGTAAAACGAGAATATACAAGGAAATGAACGAATTGAAAACAAAAAAGCCCGTCCACTTTCTGTATTTTCCAAAGAGTAACAATTGATAAAATACTCTAATCAGACTGCAGGGATTTGGAATCAAACATAACAGATAATACAAAGCCTAAATGTGTTAATATTGTTATCTCTAGTAAGACCAAACAAATAATCACACACAGATGGATGAATCATAGATTATAAAAAAAGTGATTTATCCACAGTCTCCAACCATTGTGTCCTCTTCTAATATTCTTAGAAAACAATATCAAAAACATCAGCAGAATCAAGAGATCATTTGACAAGCCCCTTGCAAGTTCTTAAAGATGTTTTTGAACAAAGGAGACCAAAATAACCAGCAGATGAAAATAAATGTTGTTGCATGATTATAGAAAACCCATTCATGTAAGACTTCGAGCCTGTTTGGGTACAAACTAAATGTAATTATCCACTCTATGTTCTCCGTTTAGTAGACGAAGCCATTCCAAACTTGACACGACAAATCCAGTTTACAGTTATCTGCCTCAGCTCTGAACCCAAAAGCTACCTGCCCCTCAATGACAGCATAATATCTTAAAATTCAGCTAATGCTGTCAGAATTTATAACAAGATTCAAAACAGGTCCATCCCATTTGCTTCTGGAATATTGATACAACTCATGTTGCTTGTTCCCCTGATCTGTGTGTTATGCAAATGCAAGCTGTGGAACTATTGGACACATATTTCTACGTTGCTAGTCATTTTCATTGAAACAATTTGTTTGATCTTGATGAGAACTAAGTTGTGTCCTTAGGTAAGTACTTGATGGTTATCTACAGAGGCTTTAATAGAAAAACAGGAATCCAAAAAATTTGTCAACTACCTATATGATTAGTTATTTTACTTTTCTTCAGCTTTCCAATTATGTCAATTTCAAGGGAGTTGTCATCTCAGATATTTGTAAGCTGCCCTTTTTATTCTTTCCTAGTTCTTGTTTTCTCCGATTCAGGAAACTCTTATCCACTCTTTAGTTGGAATGTCTCTCACTCTCTTTCCTCTTTAATAAATTTCCCTTCCTATCAAAAATATATGTATAGAAACATTTAAGGTTAAAGAATTTGCTCCTTTTGTAACATTCAGAACAACTAGCCTCTACCAGTTTAGCGGAAAATACAGCACAACCTCCTTCCTCCTCAAATATAAGGTCAGTTGAAATAAGTAGCTTCAATCTTTCATAAAAAAAACATCCTCATGCTCGTTCCCAAATAAAACACCAAAAATATAACTTGTTCATGGTACATCTACATCTAACAACAAAAACCAAAAGATGAAGAGATGCAAGTTTATTCATAATATAAGATCACTAAACTTCCTCCATATTGTGGTAGGGACTGAAAATTTTAGGGACAAGTTTCATATGAAAAAGCCACCACTGAAATTTCCATCCCCAATGGACAAAATTTAGCTAAATATATACATAAAAAAAACCCGTAGAGACTAATTTTCATGCATTGTTATATAAAATTTTACGATGTCAAGTATCAACATATTAAAGGTATGATGCTTAAAATAAAAACATTTTTTTCCATACACAATAACAATCGATTATTAAATGATAGTATAAAAAAATAAAAAATAAAAAATCATTACATTGTGAGCATATTTAAATTAAATTAAAAACCATAAACTACATAACAAGCAAATATATATACATGCACATGCACTTTGATTCACATTAAGTCACAAACTTGACACTTTCACAAATAAACACATAAAACCACAAGGGTAGGCCTAGTGGTAGCAGCATATGTATACAAGACTTAATTTCCAATTCTGATACTGTCATTATAATTTTAATCCAATAAAAAAAAAAATAAACACACATCATCAACAATCCATAGACCATAGTAAAAAAAAAAAAAAGGGGTAATTGAAATTGGTGATCACCTGTGGAGCAAGGCTTCATCAGAGTGATGACTGATAAGCATGCGAGCAACAGCGGAGTCTCTATCATCACTCAAAAGCTTCAACTCTTCCTTGGTAACAACGTGGAACAACTGTCGCCGATTCTGCAACACACCGCTCAGAAACTTCCCCACAAGGGACCGTGGCTCAAGCGGCGCGTTCAGGCTACTGAACTCGCAGTGCCTCCTTCCCCCACTCGCTCTCACCCTCAACTGGGGTTTCACTGAAGTTGGTGATACTTTTGGAATAGTAACCATGGTCCTAAGCTGGTGGCAAACACAGTTTTCCATTGTACCCAAAGAATAAAAAAATGATTTTTCTTCCCTTTCTCTGTTCCCTGGGTTTGTTGGTGAGAGAAAATAATAAAGGGTTGGTTTGTTAAGAACAGAAAGGGCGATTCGTCTGGTAAAAGGATAGGGTTTGTTTGAGAGTTTCGCGGAATGGGAGGACTAGACTAGAGTTATGAATGTTGTAGATAAGCAGAGAATAGAGATGATGATAATTTGATGGTATTTATATGGAGTTATGCACTCTCATATCTATCTATATAAAGGCACAAATTATTCCTGGTTAATCTCATATTATCATATCATATCATTCTAATCATAATCCATGGCGTACGTATTCATCATCTTTTTAATTAAGTTTTAGATATTACATGACAAGGTTTAAGTCAAGTTCTAACAATTGAAAATATACTTGTTGTGACTATTGTACATGATTAATCGAAAATATAGTATGTGATGGAATAATAATGTAAAATATTTTTAAATCATTTTTTAGAATATTTAAGAGTTTTTTTGGTTTTTTTTAAAAGACTTGAAGGATTTTTTTGACCTGAATAAAACACTATCTTAATGTGAAAGTGTTTTACTTTTGTAATGATGAAATGTTTATTTTTTTGCAGGTAATAAATGTTTTCACTAATTAAAATATAAATTAACAATTGTCTAAGATTTCAAAGAGTTTAACATTGAAATGTTTTATTGTGTATTAATGAGATTAGAAATTAGGATTTTGTGTTTATTAATGAAAATAGAATATCAGAATTCAGAACAGTTATCTATTTGTTAATTTATGATTTGTATGTTTTGGAATTGATGATTCTGGATTGGCAGAATTGTGGACAGGTAACGTGGCTTTTAATGTAAAATATTTGTTCATTGTTCAAAAAGATGATTTCTATAAGAATGGGAAGTGGAAATGCGCAGATGAATCATGAATAAAATAGGAAAGAAAATAAAAGAAGCCGGCCTAGCATATTTTACTGTTTTGTTCATTTGTTACTTAATTTTTAAAATAAATACTTTATTATTTATTTTTTAAAATTTTACACACGTATTATTCTATTAGTTGATTTATCAATTAATTATTGATATGGATTATCATGGTGACATGTTATCTGTTAATGTATATATTAGATCACATCAATAAAAACGATTTTCTAATAAGTAATATGTGTCTTAAAAGGTAAAATGTACAAATTTTAAATCTTTATTTATATAAATAATCTAGATCTTTTTAATTCATTTAAACTTCTTGCCTAAATTTAGTATTATTTTTAATATATCATTAAAAAAAATAAAATTTGTTTATTATCTTCTACTTTTCTTCACCTTAATTGTTTTTCAAATCATTCTTGTTTGTTATTTATTACTTTACAATTTTTTCTTTGGACAATTGCTATCATTGAATGTTTTCATATAGTCCATGAATGGACAAAGAAAATGTGATATTGTAGTTACATATTTTTTAATTATTTATTTTATTTATTGTTTAAAAATACAATTAATTTCTATGTTAAAAAAATTTGTTTCTTGTAACCTTCTCTCATTTTCTAGAAGCTTCCTTCTCCAATAACAACTCCCTCTTTTGTTAGAAGTTTCCCTATTCGACATCCTTTATGATATGTTTGGATGGAGAATTTATATAGGGTAATTCATTTATTTGAAGAATTTTAAATTCCTTGAGGTGAAATGCTTTGTTTGGATGAATAATTTACAAAGAATTTGAAATCCAAGCATTTGTGAAATTCTTTCAAGTAAAAATGAGAGAATTTGAAATTCCTCATATTTGTTTTCTTATTTCACCTATATATTTTATCTTATCTCTTCATTCTTTTAATTATTGGATATTCAAAAATATTTTTAAAATTATTAAATATTATCTAATATTAATTTTTAAAATTTTTAAATATTTAAAAATGGATTAATATTTATTTTTATAAAATTTAATTTTAAAATCTCAACATATAAATATGTTTTTAAAATCAATTTTATTATGGTGAAATCAAATTATCATATTCAACCTAATAATTTAAAATTTAAAAAACTTGAATTGACTCATCCAAACAAAATATTTTAAGAATGATAGAAATTGAAATCAAAGTAATTCAAATACCAAGAATTTAAAATTCCTTGAATTTGTAAAATTCCTCGTCCAAACACACCATTACTTCTTTGTCCATTTAACGGTGAATTGATTACCAACCTCCACCCTTTCTCACTTCCTCCACTTTCTCCTCCCTCTTCCGCCACCAAACCAGCTTTTACATTAACCAAATCTTCCAAACCCTAGACCTCTCCAAGCCCAAAGACTTCTCCATCCCCACTATTAGCTAGAGGCCTTCCATTTAGGCCAAACCCACTCTTGAGATTAAGGGCAAAGTTGGACTCCTCTTTATCTTTAGGAGAGCACAATGGGGCTAGACCCACAATCCAAATAGGGACTAAAAAGAAAAACTAAGTTCAAAAGTGATCCTAGAAGCCTTGGACGAGCAAGACAATGGGCATATAATGGAATTATAACAAGAAAAAAGGTGGTATGCGAATAATATGTGTCTACATGAGGCCATGAGGGTGTTTCCCAATTTTGATAATGTTGATGTTTGCAAGAATAGATCACGCTTAAGTCGGTGGACCAAACCCTAGGTTTGTAAGAGAAAATGATCGCTAGCGACATTGATGAATGATGATAAACAAGCCCGTAATTCAGAAATTGAAGAATAAGAAGATATTGGAGAGAAGAATAACGTGAGTGAAAAATACCAATATCAAAAAAGACATTTAATATTATGATATAAATTTAATTTAAAATTTTTAACAATAAATTTGGCCCATTCATTTGAATATTCATAAATTTAATGATATTTATTGGTTTGTGGTCACAACCTTTCTTTAGATTGTTATCTTTCTGTATTGTTATTTTCTAACTCTTACCTCCAACACTATTTTAATTTTGAAAATAAGATATTGAATCCTGGTTCTCTATTATTGCAGCCAATTCTTCTATGTTGAATCAGATTCAGAAAATAAGAAACTGAATCTTTTATGGTGTGTTTGGATGAGGAATTTTACAAATTCAAAGAATTTTAAATTCTTGATATTTGAATTACTTTGATTTCAATTTCTATCATTCTTAAAATATTTTATATGGATAAGTCAATTCAAAATTTTCAAATTTTAAATTGTTAGGTTGGATATAATAATTTGATTCTACCATGATAAAATTATTTTTAAAAATATATTTATATGTTGAGATTTATAAATTAAATTTTATAAAAATAAATATTAGCTAATTTTTAAATATTTAATAATTTTAAAAATATTTTTGAATATTCAATAATTAAAAACATGAAGAGATAAGAGATAAGATAAAATATATAAGTGAAATAAGAATAAAAAAATATGAGAAATTTTAAATTTTTACTTTTTTGGGAGAATTTGAAGTTTTACTATTTCAAAAAATTTTACAATTTTAAATTCCTTGTAAATTCTCCATCCAAACAAGATATTTCACCTTAAAGAATTTGAAATTCTTTAAATAAATAAATTATTCCATTTAAATTTTCCATCCAAACAAACTATTAGTGAATTTCAATGTTTTCTTCTTCTTCCAATGCCTATGAACACAAATTATTTGAATTCAGTTCACCACTTATAATAATTATTAATTGATGGCAGAAAATATACAACAATATCATGCTAATTACACCCATATAGGCTATAGCGGTTGATATTAAAAATATAATCAAAATCTAAAAGAAAATAAATAGTAGAGACCGTAAGTCATTTATAAGCAAGCAATCAATGTCCATGCATACAACAAAAGTGATTGATATATTTTGGTATGCATTGAAACAAGGATTAATCACTGTCCGTGTAAAATTTTTTTATATTATTTTATTTATGCTTCATTAAATAAGTAATTGACATGATATTATTAAAAGATATGATTGATTGTTAATATAAAATTTTTTTACACTATTTATACTAATTAATAGTATATAAGTGAGTAACTCTTGAAACAACGATGTTGACCTTATATTTCATTTCTTATTGTCCCAATTTGATTTAACGCAAAAAAATTGGTTGCCAAATCGGAGTTAATTATTTTCCCTTTTCAAGAAAAAAAATTGAGTAGTAAACCTGGTATATTGTTAAAGATGATATTAGGAGCAGCTGAAATTATTGTTTGACTGTTGTATCATTAAAAATATATATATATATATATATATATATATAT